TTTGCAGCTTGTTTGTACACAGAGACAACATTTGTACAGTCTGTAATTTTAACACAACAAGGCAAATAACTTCTCTCTTAAGAATGCTGGAGGGCTTCGACGAATGAGAGGAAAGGAGGATTTTTTGCAGAGCAAAGCTCATTCTGGAAACCTGAAGGAGTTTCCTAAATGGATGTGGGGCTGTTGTGCTATATATTTGTAGATTAGAGCATGAAACCCAAAATGTCTTATTATGTTCATGCCTTAAGCCCAGGCTGTAATTTTAAGAATGTTTTTTTTTTAATACAAATGATCCAATAATAAATTAAATTGATCTTATTGACTGAATAAGGATTTATTGAGAAACAACCATTTTTCACAATATTAACTAAATAAACAAGAAAATGTTTTCTTAAAATTATTAAACATATTTTTAAGATGAAACAAAAAGAAAAAACTAATAATTTTTGAAACACTTTTGAATATAGAGCATTGGGAAAAACATGATGTCCTTCAGAATTACTCCAGGAGTACATCCACCCATCCAGGAGTTCCCATAGCAACACATAAACCCCATATGCCTCAGTTAAGGTCAGAGGTTATGGCTGAGTTTTAAGAAACAAACTGATCAAAAATTGCCTCTATGAGGGACTTCTACTCACCAAAACATTAAATCCTGGCCCACATTTGAATATCAAAACATCTTGGAAGACATTCTTGAGACGGCCAGGACTATCCTTAAACCTTTTAGAACATGTACAACTCTATGATTCTGACTAACACTAACACAGCATTTCTGAAAGAAAAAAAAATAATAATAAAAAAGGTCAAACCTGGTTGCAGTATGATGGTCTGGGCAGCTTGGTGTTTCTATGCTGGCATCAGTTGCTGTAATTGATCAGTTCCTATCTTCTGCTGTCATTCACGGTTACCTTGAAGAAGAATGGACTGACATCCAGTTATAGACTTTAGTTCACTCATGCTGTTAAATAAATCAAGGAGTCCAAATCTGGTTGATTTACAAAAAAAACAAACAAATTAATTAAACATGCCTAGTCAAAGTTTAAACTTTAATCTGATTGTGAGTGGGTGGTCAGAAACATGCTTGGAAGCCCTTCTATGTGGCTCATTTAAAAAGCTAATATTCAGCTATCAGAAACCATGGCTGTTGTGTTCAAGGCTAACACAACCAGTCGCTAGGATTAGGTCCCTCTTGCTGTTTAACATAGAGCTTGATTTGTTTAAACAGCTTTTCTCCTTAAAAAAATTATCATTTAAGGGTCAATTTCCACTTCTCTCTCTCTTCATTGTTGCATTCATTGGTTTATTCTATTTTATGTATGGAATCCTTGTACCTGGGAAACATTACGTGTCCATTTGGATTTTTGATGTTTTTATCTGAACCTTAACAGTCTGTGTACTGCTGATTTAATAAAAAGTCCCATTGGAGTGTTCAATCTTTTCTGTCATGATTATCTATTTAGGATTTCTGTGTCTAATATTTCCCAGTCTTTGGACACTTAAAAGCCATAATCGTGTTTATGTAGACCCGCACGACCCCCCCAGTAGTTTTCCCAACCTGCTATTCTCAGCACCTTTATCCCCTCGGCTGACCCTGCTCAGATTGTGACCTTAAAGGCTGTTGGTTCTGCATCACTGCAACAGCAGAGTCATCATCTGGATGCTTCTCAGCCTTTTTCTGTCTGGAAAGGCAGCCAGGAGGTGCTTGGCATCTTTCACTTCAAACAGGCTGCCTCTGAGCTTAGTAAAAGATTTCTTCTCCTCTGAGGTTTAGCTGAAGCTTTTATGTTGCTTTGTTAATTTCAAGCAAACCACATATTGATTCATGCTGCCTCAGAAGTGTAAAGGAGGACTGGATGTTCTGGTTGTTCCTGATGTTGATACCCTAAAGATGGGATATCAGCAAAAATTTCCTACTTTTTGATTCTAAATATATTTTGATATCTTAATTATCTAGCAAGATCACTTATCTTTAGATGTGTTTTAATTTTAGATGTAACTCAAAGTTATAATGTTCTGCTTCATGATCATTGTCTATTTCTGTGATTATTCATGTTTTATATCTATATAGTGATTTGTAAAAGATATATTTTAGAATTGATTGCTGCTGTTTTTTAATTGTTTTTGAGCAAATCCACTCTCAGAGGGCTCTCCCTCACTGGGAGGGCGAGGTGAGGAGGGGCTTCATCCTAAAGCAGATGGGAGGGCGAGAGAACGGCTGGAAGCAGAGCTTCTTCAAAGCAACACCAAAAGCCGCCCGCTCGTACACAGCCTGATTTTTATCTGCTGCTAGGCAACAGCGTTGAGGGACCTGACGTCTCCCATCTTGCCGGCTAGAGCCGGTTGCTATGTGTGTTTGTATCGGGGCGAGGTCCGAACATGACGCTGAGGCTCTGTGTTCAGAATTAGCTCAGCCTCTGGAGGTATTTTCAGAGAATATCTGTAGGTTTCTGGCTCAAGTTGCTGTGAGTGTCCGTTACAGAGAGGAGAAGTCTTTCACCACACAGTTTAGATGGTGGGTTAATGTTCCGGGTAAAAAAGCAGAGTTCCTACACAGCCTGGAAAGGTCTGGAACTTGCTTTGTGTTTTTCGGTCTGAGAATGTTTGGACAATAAAAGAAAATGTCCTGGAATGATATTTTGATATCATTTATATATACTTTATTGTCTTTCTATCTATTTAAATGTCCTTTCTTTCTCTTTGATGTTCTACCATCTGTCCATCCTTGTACACTCTCTCATGCCTTTACTTTCCTCTCGTCTTCCTTCAATCCTCCCTACCTCCATTCTGTCCTTTTTTTCATTATGTCTATCTTTCTTTCCCAGTTGTTTCCTTCTTAGGTTCTTTTTCTCACCTGCGCCGTACATGTTTGCCTCTTCTCTCCATTCTTCTCTTCTTCCTTCTGTCCATTCCTTTCTTTCTGACCCATCTTCTTTTCTCCTTCCTTTTCCATCCTTGCAACCTTCCTTCCTTGGGAGTTTGGAAAGCTGAACCCTGAAACAGGTCCTCATATTGTTTGCTGTGCTGCAGCGTGACGTTAGAGGCGGCTGTTTTTAGTTGTGCAGCAGTGAAGATGACGGATGTGTGCAGGTGCAAAATCAACTCCTTTTTAGGTTTTTACATCTCTGTTCTGTCTTGGAACAGATGTAATTGTATATATATATATTTTTTTTTTTTATGTTCCTAAATCAACATCGTTCCCATTTGAAAATAGTCATTCTTTACCAATAGATGTAATGTTTTATTTTAAAACTTACCGTGTGCCTCAGAGTCAAGTGAAACAGACAAAAATAGTTTGCAGGCTGTTTTTCTCTAATGAAGATTGTCTTCTCTTTGTACCAAACATGTCCCCGTCTCTGGCCTACTTTCATATCTCACATAATTAAATCTAACAAGCACACTTGGAAGCTGCTGTGAAAGTGTTTTTTAGGCAATCAATGAGGATGTGCTGTCAGAAATGCTTCCCAGCCATTTTGTAAAAGTGTTGATCTTAGTGTTAAATCTGTTTAAGACTGTAAGGTGGGGGTTTTTTCAACAGTGTAGGAAGGTGCTGACAGTAGATTATCACAGTCAGGCATCATTTCCTCTTCATTTAGTGCTTCAGGTCAACAGAAAAGGACTGATATGATCTGACGGAAAACTGGGTTAAATGATAAGAAATTAAAACCTGTTTTGGTGAACAGGGCTGCTCAGACTACTGCTGATTCTCTGCAACTGCGTCTCGGATTGACGGCCCAAGACGGAACAGGGCTCTATTTAGCTCAGACACCAGCAATTTGACTGAAAGATCGCAAGTCAGACAGCAAAAGTGAAACACATGTTCTTTGGAGGAAATGCAAACTGACCGGTTTGTCACAGGACTGGATTTTGTATGAATGCTATGAAAAAAAATGGCTTTCCTTCCTATTTAAGGTCATGCAATATGGACTAAATGGAATATCTCCATATTTGTAAGGCCGTAGTTCTTAAGATTTTTCAAGCAGGATTTCAAGGGTGACGCTCCATTAAAAAAAAATAAAAAAAATACCAATTTTCTTCTGCCTTTAAAAAACGATTTTTTAAAACCTCTCATTTCTCCCTCACAATGTCTAGAGACCGAGGTGTTTATATCGTCTGTCACTGGATTCTGATAAGAAGCAACAGCTGCACCATGTGAATTGAATCTAATGGGTTGTTTTTAATGGGACTGAAAAATATTCTAGAGAGGAAAGCATTTTTGGCAGGTTGTTCTTTACTCCATATAAATTGATTAATTATTTGACAATCTACTAATGAATCCCTCTTTCCTAAATAACAGCCGGCAGGCAGGTGTTATTGACTATTTGACAGAACACATAAGTCATAAGTAAACACAAAGGAGGCTGACATTCTAATCTAGTGTTGCATAATCGTGACTTAAGAGAGAGCCGGCTCCCTAAATGATGCTCAGTGGTAATAAGTACTGAAACTGTAGAGTTAATAAGTACTGAAACTGTAGAGTTTAGCACTAGACTGGCTAACACCTTTGGCTAACTCAGCTGGAATAGCAGTGAAGTTTCATATCTTGGTGTTATCAGGACAGAGCCAGGATGCTGCTGTCAGTGTGCTTCTGCAGGCAGGGGGGATGAGTTTACCTGCATCCAATGGATCATCATAGCAGGGTGTTTACTCTTGATTTGCTGTGGACTGCATGTTCAACTAGACCAGGTGTTTGAGGCCTGAAAGAAACCAGACGCTTGAACTCCTTTTCATAAGGATATGAGTGAACACCGTCTCTGTTAGCTTGTTAATTTGCCTCCTCAGCTTTATCCTCACCAAAATAAAGGACTACATGAACAAGCTCGCCAGTAATTAGTTAGGGAGACATTTTAGGGCTTTTTTTTATTATTATTATTCTGCGTTGCTCCCTTCTGAGAATGCCCTAATTTCGTTTTTGTTTTTGTTTTTTTGTTTTTTTTTTATGGTTTTAGATGCATGGCTGAATATTTCTCATTTATTTCTCCACTTCCTTCCTATCCTAGGTCCAGAGGATGTGGTGATGTCATTCACACGGTCAGAGACAGAGGACAGGCGACAGTGACCCAGGCCTCTGCCCCACCCCCCTCCACATTAAAACCCTCCACCATCCCAACAACATTCAACTCCACAAACACAACACTGATGAGCTCAGGAGAAAAGGGGCGAAGGAGGAGGAGACGCACTACACGCCGCCGGGCTCTCCACCCGTCCCCTATCATCCTGCCCCTTCCTCATGTAGAGATGGCACGACGTCACCTGAGATGCGTTCAGGAGGGTCACTGTGGGCTGCAGCCTTGGCAATAGGGCCCTCTGTGAAAACACACATTGGATAACTATTTTGGGTTGTACTATTATTATTATTATTTCATTTATGTTGTGAGGAATACAAGTAACGTTCAGTTCATGTCGAGATGTCAGTGAAGCGTCAACAGCTGGCTCAGGGGAGAGAAAGCAAGTGTCCAGTCAAGATGCAGGCAGGATAATTAATCCAGTCTGAGAGTTGTTGAAATTATTTCTGCTTTTTAAATGAGCTTTCCTTTACAGGCTGCAGGTAGTTTGGGGTTTTAGCTGTTGGGTGTTGCTTTGTTTTAGAGGGGGCCTCATTCTTTAAAACCTTTTTGAATGAGCAGCAGGTTCAGCTGTGTCTCAGGATCCCCGGTGGGGTTCAGTGTTACTATTTACTACTTTATCATCTCATCGGACCACTCATGAGGTGAAGTTGGCGTGTAAACATTCAACTTTTCCAGGAATAAATATTTTAAAATGACTGCATGGCTACATGTAACCTCATCAACGTTTGTAGACTCGGTGCTTCTGTTGGCGGGAATTCATTTTAATTTATTATCTCTTTATATCAGGTTATGGCCTTTTTTATTGGCGACCCCTGACCTTCATCTGCTCGATCTGTAGGATTCTTAACAAGGTATCGACAGGCTAACAGATCAGTATCAGTCTTTCATGTTTAGTTGATGCTGAGGGGTAATGAGTCTCCTGGATCAGTTATAATGACCCCCGTTTGTTATTCTGCTGCTGCTTTTATTTTATTACTCAGTGTTTTATCATGATGAGGGATTAATCAGACACTACCAGACATAATGGAATCAAACAGGAAACACAGGTGGAAACATCCTTTGCTTTTGGGTTGTTTTGACTCATTGCTGATGTGTAAAACTTTAATATTATTGTTGTTGTTTTGTTTTTTTATTGTAGGTATAGCTGGAAAAAGTGGGAAGAATGAATTTGTGCCAATCATGTTTTCTTAAAACAAGCTGTGGGTGTAATTTATCCTGTCCTGTAATGACAGAATTGTGATTTCGTCAAATCAGGAGCCGCCCCTTTAACGTTAACCAGCAAACAGTGGCTCTTTGTTCACACTAAATTCACGCAAACTCTAACTTTTTAACGATCGAATCCAACCCACAACGCCAAACATCAAACCGTGTGCTGTTTTTAACCGTACTGTTATCTCTTGCACTATTATCAGCGGGATATGTTTTAAAGAAAAAAAAAAACATTTTAATATCTAGCACAAAGATTATTTGTCTGATTCACTGCGGGGTGAGAAATAAGTTTGTAAATGTGTTTTTATTTCTTTGTCATTTAAAGAAAAAAAAAAACAATTAAAATCTTTAATTGATGCAGCTGGACTTTGATGAGTGTTTGTGTAACAGCAGGCATATTTCCTAACATGCGGAGTTATTAAATTTGCTTTCCACTGATTTAAAGCCAAGCATGTCTGCTTTGTGGTTTCTCATGTTGATTCAGCCTCGTCACTATGACCATTGTTTGTACATTGTTGGTATTTACAGAAGCAATCGGCTTCTTCAAAATGTTAGAAAAAAAATATTTGTTTTTTTTATATTTGTGAGAGTTGTTGGCAAAAAGTTCAAACTGAATGTCCTCAACAATCATCGCAATGTACACAGCCAACAGGTCTGTCTGTATTTTATTTTTACTGTATTTTAAAACATGCTTTGTCTCTATGCATTTTTTTTTTCTAAGGCGTTTTATTGTGCAGCCTTGGATCAGTGTGTGTGCGTGTGTGAGAGAGTGATGTCCTTAATGAGTTTAACCCCTCCTGTTCCACTTTTAGCATGCTGTTAAGTGGAAAGCAAGATTCTCTATCTTCTTACTCTGACCAGGGGCCTGTTTCAGAAAGGAGGTTAAGTGAAAACTCTGAGTTTGTTAACGCTGAAATGAGGGAAACTCTGGGTTTTCTGTTTCAGAAAGGGAGGTAAGTTAAACCTGAGAAAGCAGAGTAAGTCAAGCCCGTTTCTGAAAGAGAGGTAACTTATACTCAGAGTCAGATACCATGGCAATTTACTCTGTGAACCTAACCTGGTCGGGAGCAGGTTTTCTTCAGAAAATCCAGAGTTTATTTTGGTCTCCTCCCCTTTTTTAAAGAGGAAGTGGTGTTTAAACACCTCATTGATTCTTTTGGGACATACAGTATTCATTGCACACATTTCAGTCACGTAGAGCGCATCAAAGGGAATGAAATGGCATGTCCTTTTATGGATGATCCTGTTTGTAAAGCCAGGTAGCTACTCTACTCCCATGATGTGCTCAAGGCTTACCTGCTTGAAGTATGTTTTTATATTTCATTTTCAGCTGCTGCCATGTTCTTTTGATGCCTGCAGGATTGCACCTATCCATGGAAAATAAATTAGGTTTAATAAAATACTGTTCTTCCAGTTTCACCTCTGATATTATAACAGTTGGGTAAGTTACTCTAAAATAGTTCTTAATTACTAACTACAAATTTTATCTTCAACAAGTCTAATTAGATTAATGTAATAATTACTGTCTCTAGAAAGTATTGGTCTACTTACTAATTTGTTTTACTTACTTATTAATTACTTTCTAAATCCCAAATCAACCTCAACCACTTGAACAACACAAGGAGAGACAAGAAACTGCACTTCTAATGCTTTCAAATAAACAATATTCAATTGCATGAATTAATCTTAAATTGACCAAAGTGTGTAACTAGAGGGAGAAAGTTCAAATCAAAATATACCTTTTAAATTTTGATATTAAATCCACTATTGTTTTATAGTTTTTAATTTAATTACAGTATTTATATGACTTAAGTAACTTAATTCATTACACCCAACACTGTATAAAAGTAATTAAAATGTAAACTTACGCATTGACTCGAGCAGCTATTTTCACCCAAGCTAACTCTCTCTCTTCGCCGCTGCAGCTGTGTTGCTTTTTTTTTTTTAAATACATGTTCAAATTCTGCATATGCTTGCATAAGCACATCCAGTTCTGCTGGTGAGAAATATGCACACCTTTTTTTGTCTGACGCTGTTGCCATGGTGACTCGTAATATCTGTGCTCCATTGATAATGGCTTTTTATAGTTGTGGTGCACACGCTTAACTCAGAGTCAGTCAATTTAGAGTTGATTGAACTAACTCATTTCAGCTGTTCTGAAACCCAAAACTCAGAGTTTCCAATCTCAGGATAAGTCAACTTAGAGTTCAAGTTTTAACTCAGAGTTGGTTGAACTTCCTTATTGAAACAGGCCCCAGATGTTGCTTAATTTTCTTCATTTTTTTATTGTCTTGATCTTTTATTGTTTTTCTTCACAGTCCACATTGATTAGTTGGTTTATTTTTGTCTTTTTGGGGTTTGTAGGGATGCTGACCTTACTGCCCTGATGCTTCCAAATCCAACTGAACCATTAAAGAACTTTTAAAAGCGAAAACTCATTTTTTTTTTTTTTTTCTTCTTCTGCACTCAAATACAAAAAAACATGCAACCAAAACAACGACATGGTTCAGATCAAACTGAATGTCAAAGTCAAGGCTGAAATACAACTGACAGTGATTCCACAAGTAAAGTTTTCTGTTTCTTTATTGTTTACAGAAACTGTATCTAATTTTCTGATTTTAAACTAAAAGCCCTTTTGCTGTTAAAAATGTTTTAACACTGTTGTTGGGAAACACACAAACAGCCATTACCCTGAGCTTACAGAGGATAGAGAACTTTTTATTAAATTCCCAAAACTTAAAACAAGTCTTTGAGAAATAGAAAAGTTGGTTAACGTTTTGCAACTAAACATGACAGCGATCTGTTTGTCTTTGGGAAGATAACTGCCGGCATTTCTTCCATTTTCTCTCATAATTGCACATTATACTACCATGCCTTAGTTACAGTGATTTGATTTCAAAGCGTGCAGTTCTTTGCAAAGTGTTATTGAGCTGACATGTGGTAAAATTATTTAGACAAAGCTTCATATCTGCAGATTTATTTCTATATTCAGTCATTTCTTAGCCACCTCTGCAACTGCAAAATAAATCTGACAGCTTTTTCCTTGCGAAAAACTTGGGCTTAAATGTTGACTTACCCATGGTTATCTAAAAGTATCTTTACTACCCTGATTCATGACTTTAGCCTTACTTGGGCGCTAAATTCGGTTTATAAAACAAAAATGCCTCAGATAAGGGAAATTCAACATGTTGCAGGTTAGTTCATTCTGTTTTGAATCAGAATGCTCAGAATCTGTTGCAGCATTTTAAAATTACAGATTCTCCATCCAAGCTCTTTGAGCTGGAGCTCAAAAATCTAAACTGTAAAAATATATATATGTATATAGTTCTGCAAAGCAGATCTACACTGAGATTGGTACAGTGCTAACTCTGAGGGCCTGAGCACAATTATACCCAATGACTTTACAAAGTTTAATTTCACTTTGGAGATATTCATCCCTTTGTTTAACAGACAACTAGAATAAACATCATTGAAATTTGTCTCTCGCACTGAATTAATAGATTTAATTGGTATTAGTTTTTGCAGAAATATCACCTATATACTAAATCCTGTTTTATTGGATGTTTAGAAATGTTATATATTGAGTAACAGCCTTAAAATGTACCTCAGTTTTAAAGATGCCATTAAATCCAATTAGAGGGGTTTAACAATTAAACTAGAATTTAAAAAAAAGTCTTAAACCGATTGCAGTTAACATATGCGATCAGAGCCTTGTTAGCTTCACTCAACCAGCCACAGCTTCACATGATTTCAGTCAGCTGCTAATTGACTCAAATCTCTGAACAAGGTGTGATTTGACTCCCATACTTTGAGAAAAAAAAAAGGAATTCTTGTTTCCTCTGCTAACGATGAACATCTGTTCAGTGTTTCCATACTTCCGTTCACAGATGAAATAAAAAAAAATTAGGAGACAACAAGCTCAGGGAACAGGTGGTTATTATGGCAGCAGCTTACACATTAGCACACTCACTGACGCCCACTGTTTTTTTTTATTTTTTTTTTAGTTTGTTTACATTCTGGTATTCTATTCCTTTTCTAATCAGTGATTGCACTGAATCCTTTCACCCAAATACATGCAGAGGCCTTTTTGTTTAGAGCCGAGTAGGTCCACCCATCATTTATATTTAAATGATGGTAGGTCCATGATCAGAATGAATGCTTCTCATCATGTTTTGACCATTTATTAAATATATGTTAGGTATGAGAATAGATTTATGAACAACCTATAGTTCTGGTTACTAAAATAATGACATAGTAGAAATTCACAGAAAAACAGAGATGATCCAAAAGAAGCTCTGATTTGCTGAAACAGATGGATCAGCTCTGTTAACATCCAATCATGGCAATTGTCTCTCCTGTTATTTTGTTTTGTTTTACATTTTAAGTCAATCTGAATGGTTTGAGCTTTTATCAGCAACCCAGGACTTCCTGATTTCTTCTAAATAGAATAAAACCCAGGTCCCACTGCTATTCACAGTATGTTAGCCGATCTATGGTGCTGTGGGCTTGTTTCCTCTCTAAAAACCTTGTTTGTATCATTCCAATATCCCATAACTCTTAGAAACCTGAAATTACAAAAAATAATCAAGTGGTATTTCCCAGTAAATGGAAAAAGATCATAGTTGAGTATTTCAATTCTATCCAGTATATTTATTTAGCGCCAATTCACAACAAGTCATCTAAAGGCACTTTACAGTTCAACCGATCATACAGTCAAATTGATTCAAAGTTTTCTATCTAAAGAAAAGCAGTTGATTGCATCGACTCATTGGCTCGAATGAAATCCCTCACTCTAAGCATGCTTGTAGCGACAGTGGAGAGGAAAAACTCCCTTTTAACAGGAAGAAACCTACAGCAGAACCAGGCTCAGTGTGAGCGGCCATCTGCCCAGGCCGAAACAACGGTATAAGGATGCCCCATCCAGGAAACACACAGCCAGGCAGACAAGCTCCGAGCCAGCTCCCATGTCAGAGGATGAAGAGAGCACATCCAGCCAGTCACAGTCAGAGAAACAGGACTACACTTAAAAACAGGTCGATCTCGAACATCTATTTATAAAGGTGTTGATGGCTGTCACAGCCAAACAGGAACAGACAAGGTGAAGCTACTATGAGAAAAGCAGAGAGACCATAACGTTAGAGATTCTGCAGAGAGGGAGAATAGAGATAGAATGAAGCAGAACGATGAAATAGGGTCCCTGTGTCCCCCAAAAATCTAAACCTATAGCAGCATAACTATAGAGATATCTCAGGATAACCTGAGCCACTCTAACTATAAGCTTTATCAAAAAGGAAAGTTTTAAGCCTAGCCTTAAAAGTAGACAGGGTGTCTGCCTCACGGACTAAAACTGGTAGTTGGTTCCACAGGAGAGGAGCCT